AAGTTTTTACGTTGACCAAGAATATGATATTGCATTCATCTAAGTCCTCTTATGCAGATAGAGATACACAAGTTATTTTTTGATTGGATTATTAAAATTAGAGATGGAAAGCTTGGTCAGGTGATTGATGGAATTGCAAACATTGAAATTCCGCCCAGATTCTTAATTCTTGACATAAGTTACCTCCTCAAGAGTATAGTACTGCAATTTCACTCTCAAAGTTGTTGAAATGGTAAATGAGTTTGTCATATTCCTCATTCTCGGTGATGAAAAATAGTACTTGAGTTATGATTCTTAATGGCAAGCAGATGCCAATGTTGGTGTTGATGCCGATTTGGATAACATTTGAATTTTTCAATGAAATCAAATGTTTGGTTGTTCGCAGATCCCAAACCACAAAATAATTTTGAAAAAGGGGTACTAATTATGTTATTTGGATTGTGTAATGTACAAAATTAATCGTTGAAGAGCTGTGAAAGAACGTTAACCATGCAATTGTTGTTTCGGGAAATCGAGACGGGAAAAAGGTTTACATACATCGAATAATTTTGGTACCATATGATCCACTGCTACCCCTTAAAATATCAAAAAAGACAATTTCCAATAGTTTTTGCTATGACTATTAACAAAAGGTTAAACATTGTCTTTTGTTAGATTATTTTAACTAAGTTACTATTCATTTATGATCAATTTTATGTTGTTGCTTCATAAGTGAAGACAAATACATGATTAAAAATATTTATTTTAGATGACAATGGAAACTCTTGCAACTATACCAAAAATGTTGTATATCTGAAGTCTTTCAAAAAATTAGATTTTTATTAGCATTTGTTTTATACGCTTTCAATTCTTTAAATATTATTTATTCTATTTTAACATTGATGTATATTGTATTAAAAATCATGTAAAAAAATTATTTTCTTTAATCCACAACAAATATTACTCGGAGTACATTGAAAAAAATAAGAATGAACAAAAAAAATCGTTCGACCATGCACGAGTCAAAATACTCGTTCCCAAATGAGAATGAGTCATATGTATGTCTGACACTTTCTTTATCTGTATCGAACGTCGTCTCTCCTCGTCAAGGACTCTAGGGGTTTATTCTCTCTCTCATCATATCTAAAACCCTTTCTTCCATTCCCAGGAATTGGATTTTGTCTCCATCGTCATTGTAATTCTTCTTTCGATAATAAGGGGTTAAATTCTCGCCATGTCTGAGAAATTCAAGAAGCAGAAAAAGTGCTACTTCAGTGACGAAGACGTTTCAATCCTTTTACAGAGGTACTGGATTCATCTTCCCCCATCATCTCCGCCTTTTTTTTCCCTAAATTTTCTTTGATGAGAAAAAAAGTGAAGTTTATATTTTATTTAGAGAAAAGTGCATGGATTACCCCCGAATTTTTTCGAATGTGCACGATTTGCCCCTAAAGAATAAGAAGTGCACCAATCACCCCTCAATTATGTAAACCATTGCACCAGTGCTCCTCCAATCCTAGATCCATTGTGCGTTTCTCCCACTCACCAAAATTGCGACTCTGATTCACATAGGCCCTTTGGAATTCTCGAAATTACCCTCCCCAGATTTATCTTCTTGATTTAGCCAAAAGTTCGCCCTTCTCAATCTATTTTCCAAAGGGTAATTTCGACCTATTTTCTTCTTTATTAATTTTCCAAAGGGTGCAATGGAGAATTGTAAATTTGTAGATTTGTCAATCGTTAAGAGGGTAATTTTCGATCTATTTTACAAATCGTTAGGAGTGATAATTTCCAAAAATTAATTTACAAATTGAAATTACCCTCCCCAGATTTATCTTCTTGATTTCCCCTCTGATTTGTTGGAAATTTTAGATAAATTGGACATTTTCTGACATAAATTCGGTAGGGTCCAGAAAATTATTTCCCGAAATAATTATGGACGTTTAATCTCGTAAGCAAGACGAATGTCTTGACATATCACACGCCATAAACGGTGCTCGGGTGAATGAGAAATTAATTCTCAAAGTTGAATATGAGGGAAGAGTAAAAACCCTTGTCCCACACCGGTTTTTGAACCTTTCGTATTCTCATATTTAAGCTTAGGCATTGAATTAACTTATGAAAGGAACAAGAAAAGGACTCCTCGCGCGCCGTCGTCGTCCGGCTCGGCACGACGTGCGCGGAGCGGGGCGGGGTGCGCCCGCTCTTCCCGCTGTCCGTTCCCGTTCGAGATTCCAAAGACTCCTTTTTTTTTCCTTCTCTTATTTTTCGTTGTAAAATCCGGACGTTTTATAAGTTCGGATTATTTTATTTTTATTATTCCCGCTGTACTATTCAACATGATTCACATCGGCCTGGAATTCTTATTGCATGTAGTTGGAATGGATAGCTTGTGCGTACAAAGTATATACGAAGGAAGGGGTATTTTAGTATTTACAATTGCTTTTTACTATTAATTTTTTACGAAAAGAGAAAAGGGGGCAAGTGTGCAATGGTTTGCATAATTGAGGGGTGATTGGTGCACTTCTTATTCTTTAGGGGTAAATCGTGCACTTTCGAAGAAGTTCAGGGGTAATCCGTGCACTTTTCTCATTTTATTTATAATTGCGGTTGTGTTCGTTAACTGATCAATTGGACTGATAACTGTACTGGCTGGGGATTCATGTAGATACACCCCAAGAACTGTGCTGGCGTTGTTGCAAGAGGTGGCACAAGTGAGGGAAGTGAATATTGATTGGAATGCTTTAGTGAAGAAGACCAAAACTGGGATCACGAATGCCAGGGAGTACCAACTGCTATGGCGTCATTTGGCTTACCGGCAACCGTTGGTCAATGGTTTACTTGATGGCGCTCAACCTGTGGTCCGTTATTCCCTTCATATTCAATCATATATCTGTTGTTTGAAAATGATCACTTTATTTATGTCTTGATTAACTAGGAACAAGTTAAATGTATGTAAGATTACTGATTTGTGAGTTGTACGTTACAAAAATTGAGAAGTAAGAAGTTGCACCTTGGCAAAACACAAACATGACCCCTTTTTCATATCTTCTTTCATATAAATTGTGGACTTGGGAAGCACAACGCCTTAATTTAATAGAAACCTTTCCCTTTAGGCTAAATTCCACCATTGGTCCTTCAAGTTATTGCGCCATGCACGGTTAGTCCTTCAAGTTTGAAAATTCCACAAATAGTTCTTCAAGTCATGTTAGTGTTGCATGGTTAGTCCTTCAACTTTAAGAATTTCACGATAGTCCTTCAAGTCACGTCAGTATTGCGTGGTTGGTCCTTCTGTTAATTTGTTGTTACTCCATGCATTTTTTTCATTTTTCATTATAAATACACGTGTGAGACCTTCTCTTTTTCATACAATTGAGTCATACTTTTGTAGATTTATTTTAATCAAATTATTGGTAAAAAATTGACTGTAAAAAATCAAAACTTGATAAAAACTTTAAGGCAGAGTAATATCTTTTTAAAGCAAAAATAACTTATTTTATATTGGAGTAATTAAAGTAAGAGTAACTATTATTATTAAAAACAGACCTATATTAAATATGTTCAGTTATATGAAGAAGAAAGAGTTCCTCCCATGCATATAAAATGGAAAATATATCAAAAATGCATGGACTAACGGCAAAATTAACTGGAAGACCAACCATGCAACACTAACGTGACTTGAAGGACTATTTGTGGAATTTTCAAAATTGAAGGACCAACCATGAGTCGTTAAATTCGTAGAATTTTCAAAGTTGAAGGACTAACCGTGCATGACGCAATAACTTGAAGGACTAACAGTGGAATTTAGCCATACCTTTAAGGCATCCTACTTCAAATGAGTTGTTTAATATGTGTTGAATCATTGATATCAAGTGTTTGATTCGTTGTGATTCGTTGTAACTGTTCTTTCTTTAAGTTTCTCTTAGCTTGTGGTCTTAAGAACATTTGATGGCAGGATGACGACAGTGATTTGGAGTATGAATTGGAGTCTTATCCAGCAGTTAGCAGTGAAGCATCAGCGGAAGCTGCAGCATTTGTGAAGGTGAAAAACATTCTAAGACAAAGTAGTTGCATCCAATAAGTGTATACCATTTGTGCAAAAGCTACATCATGCTTGTTTATGTATATTAAATATGATGATGACCAATAATGAAACTGAGTAAGTTGGGGAGGAAATGCTAACAATGTCCTGTTGTATCCAGTCATGTTGGGCATCTCCCTGATTACCAAATACAAATAACTTACCGCGGTGGTTAAGAAATATTCTACTTATGGGTGTATTAAATATTAATATAAAACTAGTAAAAGAAACAAATGAGATGAAATGGAACTAGTGGACAAAATTAGCAATCATCTCTGACCAATGCATGGGGTGATGGAGTTGCTGACTATCCATTGCCTGTAAAGCCATTGTTCTGTTTGTCTTAAAGGAGTGCTCAAGAGGGTCGTAAGGAAAGATGTAGGGAGTGTATACATGTGAGATTTTTAGCAATGAAAATTTTCTCATATAGAGAGAGATGTAAGATATTTCTTAAGAGTGAAAAGAGAAATTCTCGAGTGAAGAACAAAGAGTGTTGTGGAAAATGTCAATTGTTTTGTCGTTGACTCGTTGTGTTGGTCATACTCTAATTCAAGTTACAGTGGATTGCTTAGTCCGAAAAGACCGTGGTTTTTTCTTAGTTGGGACTTGGGAGGGGTTTCAATGTAAAATATTATGTTGATTTGATCTTTTTGGAGTAAATTCCATAATTGGTCTTTTATAACAGGGGTTTTCCATATTTTGTCCTCTATATTCAAATATTACGCCCGTGGTCTTTCTTTTATGGGTACCTTTTTACAAATAGTCCTTTTTTAATCTTCTATCATGTTGATATTAATTTGAGGGCTAAAAGTGTAGTTTGACAATGATCATATATCTTTCTTGTCATACACAATCTCAAAGGCCGCTTGTGATGGGTCGTTTGTGAATCGAAAACGCTGTCTACTACCACCATACTCTACAGCTGTAGTTTTTCGTTAGAATCCTATTCCATAGTCATAGTCATTATTATTGTATTATTTGTCTCACCCACATCAGATTGTCACTAGACATTAGGTTGCTGTCAAATTACACTTTTAGCCCTCAAATTAAGACTAATATGACAGAAGGTGAAAAAAGGACTATTTGTGGAAAGGTACTCATAAAAGGACCACAAATGTAAGATTTGATAATAGAGGACTAAATATGATAACCCCCTATTGTACAAGACCAATTATGGAATTTACTCATTTTTTTCTTCAATAAAATTTTCCTACGATATTGTGGTTGTTATTTTTCAAAAATTTTCCAACAAGTTGTGTCAGGGCTTGTTTAACTGTTTGGGGAACACGAGATTTTTTTATAACAGTAAGGGAATGTTAATTTTGGGACTTTTGGAGGAATTGTGCTAAAAATGGAGATAATGAAACTATGGGTATTCCACGCTGCTAGTCTTGTGTTGGAAGGCATCAAGGCAGGAAAGAAAAGAACAATATTTGTTATTTTTAGAATGTTTGAAATGGCAAGATTGTTAAGGAGATTGGTTGAGGGAGGGAATCATTTGGCAATTCCCTAGTTACCAAAAATTATGTCAGTTAAGTTTTACTCAGTAATCTATTTATAGACGTGTTTAAAAAGAAAAATAGACTAATAAAAGAAAAATAAAGAGAAGACCCAGAAATGGTGGCCCAAATTAGCAATCATCTTTGATCAATGCATGAGATGATGGAGTTGTTGAGTGTCCTTTGGCTATAAAGCCATTGTTTCTCTTGCAGAGTGCTTAAGAGGGCTGTGAAGAGAGATGTAGGGAGTGAAGAAATTTTAGAATGTCAGCAACGAAAAAAACTTCTCACATAGCAAGAGATGTTAGATATTTCTTAAGAGGGAAAGAAATAATATTCAAGTGAAGAAAGAAGAGTGCTGTGAATTATCTCAATTAGGGTATTTTGATATTACGGTGGATTGTTTAGTACGAAAGGACTGGTTTTTTCCCATTCTTGAGATGGATTTCTACATGAGATATTGTGTTGATTTTTTGTGCATTATTTTTTCTCCGACATTGTGATTGCTTTTTTCCCTGTGATTTTCCCAACATGTCACTACATGAAAAACCCTATAGCTTTGAATTTGTCCTTGAATCACCCAAACTTACTGTTGGCAGGGCATTTGCAGCACCCTTCAACTGCATAATGGGTTGTTGTGGTTGTTGATGTTGGTATTTTCATAGTACTAAAGTATTTGTGGTGTTGTTGTTTTGGGCTCAAATAGGTATTGATTGCTTCTGGGACACTAAACGATTCTCACCTGCCAAATGGCATGACTGTTGAGGCTCCGTTGGCTATAAGTATACCTAATGGCCAAAGATCTCTGAATTTTGTTGATGCTTCACAACAAAGTATACCCATTCAAGGGTCAAATATTATAGTTTCAGTTTCTGTGCCAAAAACTCCACTGCCCACTGTAATGTTAACCAAAGGATTAGATGACAATGGTGCATCAGGTGCAAACTTACCTCAACGAAAAAGAAAACTCTGGTCTGAAACAGAGGATATGGATCTTATTGCTGCTGTGAAAAGACATGGTGAAGGAAACTGGGCAAACATGGCGAAGAGAGATTTTAATGGTTACAAAACTGCTTCACAACTATCTAAGGTTCCCCTTTTCTACTATATTGCTCTTTCTTTATAGGCGCATGTGTTGTTAAAGATTGTGCAGTAAATCATTTTTCTTAATAAAGATTTGTTAGGTTGGTTTTCATCTGTGATTGCAACATGGAAATATGGAATGTCCAATGGGGGAGATATTTGATTTTTGCTTAGGTTTCGGGGGTTCAAATCCTGTCAATGGAATAGTATCATGAACACACGTATATGGTCAGGAAACCAGCATAATCTAAATTTTGAAAAAACAACAAAAACATGAGTTGTTGGATAATCTGCAGAAAATCATTTTTCCTTGAAGAATTAAAAATTTATTTTATATCAACTTGATGGGATTTTATGAGAATGATCTTTCATTTATTATTGCAACATGGAAGTAAAGTATTCAGCTGTTATTTATTGGTCGTGGAATAATATCTTGAATGCACGTGTATGGCCTAAATTTTGTAAAAATATCAATAATCATTCTTCTATCATTTTAGACCATTCTGTATTTTACTATGGTACAACCTGCAGAGGTGGGCAACTATTAAGAAGCAACAAGGTTCCTTGAATGGGAATACATCAAAACTCTCAGAAATTCATTTGGCTGATCAGGCAGTGTCCCTGGCTCTTGATGTGCCTATGAGGGAGAATCCAAAAGCAGCTCGCTCAAGCATTCCCGGTAATTCTCTTGACATATATTTAATTATTAATATGATCTTGTAGTTCAACAATTGAGTTGAGCTTTCTAGAAATATATAAGAATTCAAGATGTCACCTGTGGGTGTTAATTACTTAAGGTATTCTGATCTTAAGTTCCAGTATTTTAGCCTTTTTAGGTAGACCTAAATAAGGTGGTATCAATTCTATCAAATGCCATAGACAAAATTTCAGTAACAATATGATATCACAGATATCCATCTCCAATGCTCTTTTAATTGAATCTATGTTCTCATCGCTGTTTTCCATCATCTCCGATGGAGCCAAAATTTCACCATTTTTTGGCTTTGGGGTGTGATGGAATAAATCAAAATGGATCTCTAAACTGTCTGCGCTTCTTTAATTAATGAAGTAGCAGTTAGTCAAGTAATGCAACTTTCGACGTTGAGCCGGGGGTTTCTTTGGAAACAGCCTCTCTACTTTCGAGTAGGGGTAAGGTCTGCGTACACACACCCTCCCCAGACCCTACTCTTGTGGGATTTAATTGGGTTGTTGTTGTTGTTGTTGTTGTTGTTGTTGTTCTCATCGCTGTTAGCTTTGACTAATCCAATTCAATATTGTAACAGAGTGCAAAATTGCAAATGCTGCATCAAACTCTAATGCATCAAGTGTGGTGGCAGCACCAAAGATTGGCACTCCGCACACTGGTACCATCAAAATCACTAGTCTCAAAAAAGAATATACAGAGTCAACAACTATACGCAGAGATCCATTGATCAAAGCAGCTTCAGCTGTTGCTGGTGCCTGCATTGTTTCCCCTTCAAATGGTGCATCACTGCTTAAGACTGCATAGTCTAAGAGTGCTTTCAATTTCATGACTGGCAGAGGTCATGTAAATAAACCATCTTATCTGCCAATCCAAATGCATTACTGATTAATGTCCACTTTGTTCATAATAACCTACCATTTCATTTCAATGACCCTATGTCACAGTTCATGAAATGAACCTCGACAGGTACATCATCATTCTGTAAATTCAGTGTCACCTAACCTAGTTGGTGCGGCGTCCGATCCAAAATCTTGAAACTAATGTGATCCCATGTAACTGAACACAAATCTAGCTGCTGAGCTTGGCATAGAAACAGTGGAATATAAAGCAGCTCTTACTGGCTTGGTAATTGTGTTAGAAAAAAGATAGCCCAGCAAATTGAGCTAGTTGCCCGGATGTTTCTTTCAAAAGGGATTCAATTGCTGCTTTTACAGGAAATTCACTGTTGGAGCATGCTTCCTAGTTCCTATTAAGGATCTGGAATAGAAGTGAATATGACATGTGAGATCCTTCAATGTTCAAGGCCATAAATCCAGCTATTCATGAAGAACAGAGGGCCAAATTTGATATTCCCTTCAATAATGGCTACCACTCTAACAAAGATTTTCACGGAAGACAAATAAAGCCACAACTGATATACCTCGCTATGATGAACCATGCTGGGGTCAAGGGTAGAGCCAAAAATAAAAACAGCAAATGCTCGTAGAGCAAATCACAAATGGTGAGCTGAAAGATGTACCAAATTTGATTGTTTATTTGAGGAGTAGATGAATTTTTAGTTTTGGACATAAAGTCTGCCTATTTTTTCTTGTTAACCCCATCCACCCAACCTACTCCAAATATTGTCAAGCATATTCTATCAGTTTTTGTTTGTACATGATGTATATGGTGTCTACAATTTCTAGATACACAAAACTTTGAATAGTTTCCTTTTTAATGGCAAAATGTGAGTGTATGGCTAACCGTGCATCTTTTTTGTATAAGCATGGCTCTAGTTGCAAATGTGAAGCTCTATAAGATTTACAAATCTTGAGAGTGGGGTCACATGCATAGTAGGAATCCACAGTGGCTTAAGTGCACAAGTAATTTAGTCTTTTTGCAGTTGATGTAATAATATACCACATGGAAAGAACCCTCTTGCGGTCTAGTCATTTTTCCGCTTGTTAGTTTAAATCCTAGTTACTGTAAATAGAGAAATAAAAAGCATCAATCTATTTAGGCCTCGGCAATTCACTATATTGTTTCTGCAATGCCGGACTGACACATGCAAAGAGTGATGACCTCTGCTTTTGCTTCTTCAACTTCACTCCAAACAAGAAAGATCTCAAAGGAATCCTATTTTGATAGCTTTTGTTCTCTCTCTTTAGCCCGAGTTCATCGAGCTCTTGGAGAGTCCTTCTAATCTCTGCTTGCAGCCTCTCGACACGCTTAGCTCCAGCGTGTAATTCACATGCTACCTTCTTGTTCTCACGTTTCATGATAAGAACCTCACCTTGTAGTTTTGCAGCCTCATAGGTGCTCAGTTCACTCTTAGGGCCTTCTTTAGAAAACCTGGTTATCTCTTCCTTGAGGTTGCAAAGAGATGACAGCTTGTTCTGCAAGTCATCTTTCAGCACTGCACTATGTTCTAACCATAGTGTTAACTCGGTCTGTATCTCTTTCAAATGCCTGTATATGGGGCGGATCTCAGAGAGCTGTTCCAGTGGTTTAGTGTCCATCTTCTGTTTGTTTACCCTCTTCCTCTGCAGTTCGTCCTGTAAGTCTTTGACAGAGCTCTGAAACTTTCTTATCTGATGGAAAGAAGTGCTGAACCGGAGCCAGAATTCCATGTTCTCTTCCAACAATTCATCTATGTCTGTGTGTATCTTTTCTTCCATGGTTGAAAAATGATGGTTTTCATCAATGCTGTCCATCTTAAGATCCTCATACTCTTCAAGGCTGGACATCTTCAAATGTGATATTGCTCCTTCTCTGGTAGGATCAACTCCAGGGAGAGAGATATCCAATAGTTCTGAGAGAGTTTTTCTATGCACTTCCTGACGCTTTGTGTTTTCATCTTTAGTCTCAAAGCCCGGTTTTGTTGACATTTCACTCGACCTTGGAGCTTCTGCTTGTTCCCCATTGAGCGAGTTTAGTTTTATCAGCAAAGCTTGAATCTCTGCATCTTTTAAGGTTATGGAATTTCTCAGTATTTTTATCTGAACAACATATTGAAAGTGGGCAGCCCTCCTTTTCTTTTCTGATTCATTGAGCTTCCTCTTTGATTCCTTGTAATTTCTTAGGACCATGATGTACTCTTCGAGTAAAAGTTTGTCTCTGTCATCCAGACCATTTAGAAACATTGCTCTCCAGTTTGGTTCGACGTCTTCTGCACCAAGTTCATCTCGCTCCACCACCGTGCTTAGATCTTGATGAACTCCTGCAAAAGAATGTTGATCAGTACTGGTTAATGGCATTAAAATGTCACCTTATTCCTTAGATGGGCGTAGATTACCTTCTTTCATTTGTTCCTCTTTAGGCGATTCATCTCCTAAGACAGCTGAAGCGTTATGATCAGTGGCTGAACTCTCATTTGTTCCTTCTTTTTCAAACTTTTCATTTGTCTCTTGGTCCTCAGAAAGTGAAGAGTTCCTTTCAACAGCTGTTACTTCATGTTTGGTTTCCCCTGAAGAAGCATTATTACTCGCAGCTTTGACACAAGAAGGTTCATTGTTGATCTCTGCCTCTGGCAACACATTTAGTAGTTTCCCAGAGAGGTCATCAACTCTGCAACTCGCTTCAGTGATGCGCTTATATATGTAGTCGCTTTGATTGGTGATGGTTTGGTTCAGACCCTGAACTTTCTGAAGTTCTTCTTCAAGTTCTTTGATCTTGTTCCCCATCGTTTCTGAACCTTTGATCAACGACTCCTTTTCCTCTTCTGTCCTTTGAAGATGAGCATGGAGATTGTTTGCCTCTTCTCTTAGTCTGTTCACCAGGGCATTCTGGTCCACCACTGCAGTTTCTAAATGTATGATCTTATCCACAAGTTCATCAACTCTTTCTGCAAGACCCGACATGCTAAGGTGAGCACTTGCGCCGACCTGCATCTCTTCTTTCATCTTTTCGCGCAATGACTCTATATCTATCCTTTCTGGAGTTCTAGCACCAGTAATCTCCGGTTGCCGGTTATCAGAATCTGATTTTTTTGGTTTCTCCAAATTTGGCCTCTGGATCAATTTCTCCTCCGTTGATGGTTTGTATCCCTCAAAAGTCTTCACAAGGGACTGAAATTTCAGACGGGCATTCTGGACCTTTTGGTTCTCGATCTTTGCCTCTTCATCTATCTTCTCTTGCTGTTCTTGTAACCGGTCCAATGTCTCCTGGCAAGACTTTAGTGCAGTGGATGCCATTAAAGTCCGTGCCTCGTCGTCCTCGATAACAGTTCCTATCCCAAACTCATCCTGCAAGCACGTAACCCTTGCCTGCAACTCCGTGACTTGGTTCTCGATATCCCAGTACTTGGCGACCCCATTTTCGTACGAGCTCTTCACAAACTCTTTCTCAGTTTGGAGTGCCAGAATCTGCTTCTGAGTCTTATCAATCTCACGAAGCGCTTCGTCTTTGGTCAACCCTGATGTTGGTTTGGCATCATCACCATCTCCATCGAACTTGAGAAGCCCCTTCTTAGACATCAACCTTGATGTCTTTATAACCTTTTTCTTGTTGTTGTTGGTTGAAGCAATTTCTGGAATGCTCAACTTTGGGGCGGCTGGCAAATTATTCGGGGAGATGATTTTCCTATTCTCTGGAGGGAAGGTTCCGTTCTCGTCGTCCTCCTCTTCTTCCTCCATGTCTAGCTGAACTCTTTCGGGGTAAATAGTGGCAATGGTTCTGTTGGCACTCTGAAGCTCTTTTGAAATATAATCATATCTCTCTGCTAAAGCTCTGTAACTCTTGAAGAAATCTTCCACAAAGTTGAGAAGCTCAGGCCTTCTTCTGTAGTACATTTCTGCCCTTCTCGCGAACGAGTCGCCATCCTCGTCTAGTATCTTGAGTATGTAATCTACCTTCTCCTCCATATCTGCAACCAAACAGTTAAGGTCACATCAATCAATAACTGCATTTTTTCAAGTATTTGCTTTTACTGCCTTTTTTTCCCTTCCCATTCTCATCAGGTTTCCACCCCCTTATTGGGGTGAGGAGGAAGCTGTAAACAATGTGTATGGCTACACATAACAACACACTATGGCTTTATTATAAGAACCAAACATCAAAGGGAACACAAATAATTATAAATAATTAAAAAAAAAAGAGAGAGATTCTCATATTCTTTACCAATTTCCATTTCTTGCCTGATTTCCCCTTCTATCTGAACCTATTGTATCAAATGAAATATTTACTACGCGACTAGGAATATTATAAGATTATCACAAGCACTATCTATGCATGACAAAAAAAAATTGTAAAACAAAAGTTTCCCATGAACAAAAAAAAAAAAATTGGAACAGTTTTTGCCTTGTAAATTTTGCTCCAGCCATTTTGACTGTTTTGTCCTTATATGGCTTGCACACCACCATGAATATGCATTTCTTGCTGCTCTCTGCAACATTTTCTTCTAATTGGAATGCCCCTTACTTGTTTACATTATCTCCAAAATATAGGAAATGGGAACATTCGTCCAATGAAGAGAATTGTGAATATCAAAATAAAGAAAGAAATTTGTTCTTAATTATGGGATGAAATTAAAGATCAATTTGTTTAGGGTGATGTTCCTCCATATTTGCCAGATCTAGGCAGGATTAATTTAGGATACTTGGCCAAGGTGTGGAGGTTGCATTTCTTACTTAGAGAAGCACAAATGTAGGAACCCGTTGATTGTCTGTCTGGCCAGCTGGCAAATCTTGAACCTGCCTAATAAATTGTTGACCTCTACCACATTTTGAGGCTTTAATTATTTTCTCCTTCCCAAAAAAAATGGAGGCAAAAGTAGATATTTTTAGAATTATTTTATTTAAAAATTGGTATAGAATTACAAAATAAAATTTACATATCTTTTATATATAAAAACTTGACTTCAATTTCTAAAAAAAAGACATGTGACATTGCTTATGTAGTGCTTTTTAACACTTAATATGTCACCTAACGTAAGACATGAAAAATAAGAAAGCAATAATTTGGTCTGAAATTAATGAGTAAATTTAATTGGAGAAAAGAGATATTCATTTTTATGATAATATTGTTTCCTAATTTTGTATTTTTTAAACAACTTTCAAATAATATCTTATTTTCTTCACCTCTAAATAAATTTCATATTTACTTATGATACGTTTAAATAAAATTGGTTACAATTCTACTTATTTAAAAATTGATGTAAAATTCAAAACAAAAAAATATTTTAAAAACTGGAAATAAATTTTATAAAGGAATACTTTCAAAATTGTTTGTAAAAGAATAAATGATTGAACTATACAAAGGTTAAAATAGAGAAAACAATACTAGATATAATCTCATAATTTAATCGAGTATATTCATTTCATGGTGTGATATAATTACTACATAATTTATTGATTGTAATTCTTATACACCGTATGATTTATGATTAAATTAAAAAAAATATTATTTTGAATTATTTATTATTATAATATTTTTAATTGTATTATAGAATATATTCAATAAAAAATGTGTCACCTTGACTTTTTATGTTTACATTATCAATCTTTACAATTTAACCACCATTGAGAAATTTTAATTATGGAATAGGATCTATGTTTTTATTAGAATACTAGTATTTTAAATCATGTCATGCACGAAGTTGAACGAAAGTTTTTTGTACTCTGTAATTATTATTCATTGTACATGATTAAGAATTTGAAAAAAAATATAATGCCAATAAAAACAAAAATTACACAAATTTTACAAATTTTTTATTTCTCAATTTAAATTTTCACTTTTA